TCAGCTGAGGGTAGGTGACCTAGGCTCATCTAAGTTTAGGGGGGATGCGGAACGCAGTGAGCGCCCACCGGTGAGGAAACAACCAGCAGCAAACAACAGAGCACATGCCGCATAGCAAAGGAGAAGAGATGAGTAGACGATACAGACGGATACCAGAGTCCGAGGAGCAGAGGTCAATATCATCGTGTATTGCGTGACGTGCACCGCAGGAGGGATATTGTGTCGTGTGCGGATTTTCGTGGGGCGAGGCGTGATAAGTGCTGAACTAAGAAGGAAAAACGGGAGCTATGATGGAGGCGGAGGAGGGAAGCCGCCGTTGAAATCAACTGAGTTAGCAAGACGGGTACTCGCTCCCAGCGGTCCCATTGGGGCATACGGCGAGCTTATCGGCGCCGAATACGCATACGAGGAATTCCGGTACTGCCCCTGTGCCTATCCGTACTGTATCCCGTGCGGAATCCTACTTTGCATTATATACAAAACCAGAGGGTCTGGCCGTAACCGAGATGGCATCGGGTGTTGGGCGGAATGGGTTCAGATTTGGAGAGTGGGTCAGGGGGGTTGTTATGTACCTGCTGAGTGGTACGATAATCCTTTTATTCGTTCAATGTTTTTGGACTGATAAAGGATCGCGTTGGAATAATCCTGGAAAATGCTATGGATAATCCTAGATAATGCTATGGATAATCCTAGATAATGCCATGGATAATCCTAGGTAATGCTAGGATTATTCTAGATAATCCTCGCCTACGTACCGTTGTCGCCGGGATACACGATAATCCTGGGTATGTCTTGTAGATAATCCTAGATTAATCGTGTGTACTATTTACAGTCAATAAGTTCGCTGTTATTAGTGTGTAGGATTCCCCCTCTATTAAGGCCTAAGATCAATCTTCGGGGGTGTAACCGTTGCACCCGAGGCGTCCGTTCTCTTGGATCGTAATTCCCATGTCACGGCAAAGCCGCGCATCCGAGCGACTTACCACCCTGGAAACCCACGGAATGCTTGAATAGCGATGGATCAGTCTCAGTACAACTCGGGTGAAGGTAGCTGCCCGCCAATAGCACCAGTGCCCCCCGCAAGGCACTCCAAAGCGCGAGACCTACGATCCGTGAGCTCCACGGTGATGTACCGCCTGAACAAACGTCAAAGAAGTGTATGTAAAATAACTGACAGCGGGAATTTAGGGGGCCGGAACTGTCTCAGCAAGAAGATCGAGTTTTAGAGTCTTTTGTGAGCTCAGAGTGGATCCTGGATGAAATATAAAAGAATCGGATGGTATGGTTAGAGCGAAACAGAGGCTGTAAACAGGGTAAGTGAATAAATTGAAGATAGGGCTGTCGCCCGTTGCCGTCGCCACGGTTCCACGGCATCCGTCGAACGGGGGCCGTGCCCGTTCCGTCGGAGATTTGGGGCATCTAAAAATGGGCCGTTGAAACACGGCCGTCACGGCAGGTACACGGGTACACGGATGACTGTTAAAATAGTGGCTATTTTTGGCTTGATTCACGGAATCTGAGCCCTGGAATAGCTCTGCAATCTCATCTCGCCATGTCCTTACTCTTCCTCCAAGGACTGAGGCCTATGCTATGAGATGAATCTCTGCCGGGGTCAGCCGATGTATTTGTCCCCTTTGGGAATCTCGCAATATTTCACCTCAGAAACAATGTTTCGACGCATTCTGCACCAGCAGCTGTTTCTTTTCACAGAAATGATTGACCAGTACCTGTTTCAACGCCAAAACGCACCAAATTTGGGCTAAATTATGAAAAAACTCGTCCTTGCACCTAGGTTCAACCCGTCACGGCCGTGCCGTTGACCGTCCCGTCCCGTTGGAGCTCAGGGAGACCACTCGACGGGCCGTAAAAACACGGCCGTGCCCGTCACGGGCACGGGTGGCAGCCCTAATTGAAGAAAGCATAAGAACGGCCATAGAAGCTGTCAATCCTCCTATCAAGACAGATGCTGTGAAACCGAGCATGCGGAGCTATTTCACACGCCGGCTCTCGGCCCCTGCCACAACGGTAGCTGGACAAAAAAATTTGACGCTTTTTGGTCGTTTGAAGCCAAAAACCTGGGCCGTCACCGTCACCGGTTCCAAGTTGTTGTTCACAGGTCACCGTCACCTGAACAAATGCCAGAATGTTTTATACTTGGTGTGGTAACTCCCTGAACCCCTCCCGTCTTATCGTCGCCCACTCCTAGCGATATCTCTTAAATCTTGCGATGAACTACTTGCTCGCATTCACCTCACTTGCTGTCGCCGTGACAATATACATTGCTGTATGTACACGCAAGGTCTCTTTCAGAGCAATTCCTGGACCTCCTTCGCCATCATGGATTTTTGGTGCGCTATTTCATCTTCCCGGACGATCCATCCTCATTCTGCAGGAAATATGCTACAACTCTGGGTCTCTTCGCCATATGGCAAATACGAGTTCGCCTGGTTGAAGGAATACGGAAACGTATACCGGTTGAAAGGCTGTTTCGGCGTGAGTCAAACTAGATCTTCCCGTTTATTGCACTGACTTGCACCAGCAAGACCGCCTCATGGTTTCCGATCCTCGCGCCGTGCAACACGTTTTGAACAACGTTGACATATTCCGAAATTCTCCTCTTCTTGAAAAGTTTTTCTATGCCTTAGATGGTCCAAGGGGTGTTCAATTCGTGCGAGGTACGGACAATTTATTCCAGATTCTACCTTGAATGTATCACCACCCACTGGTAACAGGCGAGGAACACCGTCGGATGCGCATTGCCTTGAACGTTGCATTCACTGCAAGTGCTGTGAGGCAGTATCAAGAACTATTCGAGAATGTTGCGCGACAAGTAAGCTGAATCATCCCATTAAACGATTTGGATGACTCGAGCATCCCAGATTTCAAGCAAGCTGGAAGCCGCCAGTGAAAGCGTAGTCGATGTTTGTCAGGTTATTGGACCCGGAACCCTGGCAGCAATCGCAGAGGGTGGGTTGCTTAGTTCGATGGTAGATCATTCACCAACTCCCTCCAGTTGTGCTGGGTCGTTCTGTTGAGGAGTTAGATGAAGAGCTGGTTCACCTCCTCTCTACCGCGATGTATGTCACTCTGCCCTTGGGAACGACCGGCTCCTTATCTTCATGATAACTATGTCGCATATAGGGTACAAGACACTCGCCCTACTCCAAGCTCTGTCATTGCTAATGCCCTCAGTACTCTGTTGCCCCAATTGAATTTGAGCCTCCTCCCGGTCTTCGGTATGCTTCGGAAGGCAAGGAAGCTCGCCACTCGCCTCGGCACACAAGTTATTGAGGAGAAGGCCGCGGCCCTGGAGGGTGGCATGGATCCAGGCGATGATCTCTATGCGTATCTTCGTAGGTTCCTGGTTTGGAGCATTTCGGCACGTGAACTAACATCGCGATTCACAGTGCGCCAAAATACAACACTGACGAAAGAGGATATTGCGAGCCAGACTTGCGTTCTGCTTGTGGCTGGACAGGACACCACGGTAAGCCTGTGTTTATACACGATGCGGGCTTTTCAGGGATATTGTTAGGCCAATACGCTGACGTTTGGACTACTTGAACTTGCTCGGAACCCTGAGCTGCAAGAAAAAATTCGCAAAGAAATCCATTCAATGACTAATTCTTCATACGACAACAAACCTCTCTTGAATGCTCTTATTAAGGTACCTACCATATGTTCCACGAGAGAGATGGAATGAACCCGCGCAGGAATCGCTCAGAATGTTCCCAGCGGAAGCCTTGGCCGAGAGAATCGCTGTACGGGACACAGTCATCCCATTGACAGAGAGTATCTCAACCATGGCCGGCGAGCACATCGACCATATCCCTGTTCGCAAAGGGGAAGTCGTGTTTATTGGAATCGCCTCCTACCAAAGGTCCATTATTTTTTAATCATTTCATCGAATGTCGTAACTTCTGTTTTCAGGGACAAGTTCCGTTGGGGTGAGAACCCAGACAAATTCGATCCCCTTCGGTGGGTCGACGGCAGAGTTATACAGGGCGAAGCGATTGGACCCTATGCGAATCTGTGCGCTCCTTCAATAGTCCATGATGCTCAGTGCGATGATTTATTCAAAATTTTAGGCTAAGTTTCCTCGGCGGTCCACGCACTTGTCTCGGGTAATAAAAAATATCTCTCTATCCAAGGAATTGTACAACTAAATTGCCGTCTTCCATAGATGGCGATTTGCGTGAGCGGATCTCGTTTTCCGATACAATCGATACTGAATTGACGAAACGAGGGTGATGGAGATGCAGACCATATTCAGTGAATTGTTGGGGAAATTTTCCTTCGCCCTCGCAGAAGACGAACCGGATGATTTGTTCGTTCAATTGGCCGTGACCTTGCAGCCGTGTGATCCAAACGGCCAAAAGGTCGTCCCTCTTCGTGTTACTCGTCTGTTGTAAATTGTTGCTTTCTCAAAGATGATTTAACCACACCTGAGGTGGAGCTTTAAACTTGCCGAGATGAATTTTGATACGATTCGCAGAGTCAGTAAAGAGTGCTTAGTGAAGGTTTGGGAACAAATGGAGATCCCACTGGTGCGTGAGAGGCGCAGTAGTACAAAGGAAAACACCACTTTTCTGAAAGGAATAAACATGGGGGAAAATGAAAAAGGAAAAACCGCCGAATCCGAATGCATACACCGCCGTTTCGGAATGATGTTGTGGGGAGATCAGCCTGACGATCTCCGGGGCTATTCCATCAAATGTTACGGAGCCTTCGAGAACGTTCCTACGAGATCAGAACACCGGTTCGCAGCCGATTGAACCTCGCTAGAAGGTCCCGAGCAGAAGCTGTCTATAACATTCCGAGTGAACATTTGGCTGAGATTGTGCACCTGATATACCACCAAGCCCCTCTAGTTAGAGGGCTTCGTACCCCCCTTAGGTACCCTCTAACTAGAGGGGCTCAGGGCGGCCACCCTGGACGGCGTTTTGGCAGGCCACAAGGGCTGTTCGCTCATAAATTACACCAAACATGTAGAGTGGCCATCGGGTGTGGTGCACGGTGCACAACTGTGTTACTTCGACGGTTTCCACAGATTAGAGGCAGAGAGCCGGGGTTCGACTCCCCGCACCCGAATATCCCACATGCTTTCGATTTTTTTTCTGTCTTCTTTTCGCCCGACGCTCATACTCGCTTCGTGCATCGTATCATACCCCTCTTCGTCCGGAGCGTACCTGTTGTCTCCTCCCATCCCCTCCTCCCACCCTCACAATAAAATACACCAAGCACAGAGCAATGAACCGGGCGTGGTGCACGGTGGACGGAGTTCGACTCACCGTAGCCGAACTTCCTGCTTCAACCATGTCTTTTTTCATTGCGAATCCAACGACCTGAATTTCTCGGTTCTGGGAGTATGGAATCTAGAGAAGGTATCGGGTGTAGTACATGGTGCACCGCTGCAACATATCAATCGCTTATTTGAATTCAACGACAGTGAAACGGGGTTCGACTCCCCGCACCCGAATTCCAAAATTGCGAATAGCTTTTTTGTACTCAGGCTGACCCGCCCGTCAATTTCGTCGTTAATATATCACGCCAGCTATATAGAGCAAAGAATTGGGTGTAGTGTACGGCGCACCGCTGAAATCCGTGGGATAGTTTTCGGAATTACAAACAGCGAGCCGGGTTCGACTCCCCGCACCCGAATGTAGGGAACGAAGACATCTTTTTTTATTCTGAGTACTGCACGCGTTACAGTAATTTCGTCGCTCATAAATTCTACCAAGTATATAGAACAATGAATCGAGTGTAGTGCGCGGCGCACAACTGCTGTCTTTGTACGACTTCGAAGAGCTCGGTATTAGAGGCAGTCAGCCGGGGTTCGACTCCCCGCGCCTGAATGGCCTGGATTGTAGCAGTCTTTTTTTAATGGTGAATCAAACACCGAAAACTAGGTCAAAGGGAGTGTAGGATTTAGGTAAAGCATCGAGTGTGGTGTATAGCGCACAACTGTTGCCCTTAGGAAACTTTCTCGAGATCAGAGGCAATTAGAAGGGTCGACTCCCCGCACCCGAATCCATCGGATCCCAAGAACATTTTTGGACTCAGAATACCCCGCCCGTTAATTTAGTCGCTCATAAATTATACCAAGCATTTAGAGAAAGTAATCGGGTGTAGTGTACGGAGCACAACTGCTGCCCTTGCCTGTCGGATTTCAATGGATTAGACGTAGTTTGACGGGGTTCGACTCCCCGTACCCGAATTCTAGACTTGCGAATAGCTTTTTTGTACTCAGGCTGACCCGCACGTCAATTTCGTCGCTAATAAATCACACAAAGCTTATAGAGGAAGGTATCGGGTGTAGTGCACGGCGCACAACTGCTGTCATTAGGGAACTTTCTCGAGATTAGAGGCAGTCAAACGGGATTCGACTCCCCGCACCTGAATGGCCTGGATTGTAGCAGTCTTTTTTTTTAATGGTGAATCAAACGCTCCGAAAACCAGGTCAAAAGGGAGCATGGGATCTAAACAAGACATCGGGTGTGCTGGACAGCGCACAACTGCTGTAATTGGGGAGCTTTCTCGAGATCAGAGGGGGTTCGACTCCCCGTACCCGAATTTCACCGTCTTGGACCATTTTTCTTTTATGGACTTCAATCACTCTGAGAACATGGTTAAAGGGAGTGTAGAATCGGGGCAAGGAACCGGGTGTGGTGTATGGCGCACAACTGCAATTTGTGCGAGGAATAAGTGCTCGAAGTAAAAGCAGCTAGACGGGGTTCGACTCCCCGCACCCGAATTCTAAACTTGCTAATAGCTTTTTTATACTCAGGCTGACCCGCCCGTCGATTTCGTCGCTAATAAATTCCCCAAAGTATACAGAGCAAGCAGTCGGGTGTGGTGCATGGCGCACAACTGCTCTGCTTGCGGGGCTTGTAGGGTCATTGAATGGAGGCAGTCAGACGGGGTTCGACTCCCCGCACCCGAATTCCAAAATAGCAAATAGCTTTTTTGTAGTCAGGTTGACCTGCCCGTCAATTTCGTCGCTCATAAATTCCACTAAGTATACAGAAAAAGGAGTCGGGTGTGGTGTATGGCGCACAACTGCTGTCCTTGCCGTGGCCGAAAAAGATTATTATAATGGCAGCTAGACGGGGTTCGACTCCCCGCACCCGAATTCCAAACTTGCGAATAGCTTTTTTGTACTCAGGCGTCGATTTCGTCGCTAATATATTACGCCAGCTATATAGAGCAAGCAGTCGGGTGTGGTGCACGGCGCACAACTGCTGTCCTTGGACTGTGTTCACAATAGAAGCGGTTGAACGGGGTTCGACTCCCCGCACCCGAATGTATGGGCAAAGACGACATTTTATACTCTGAGTACCCCGCGCGTTAATTTAGTCGCTCATAAATTACACAGAGAATATGGAGTAAGAACTCGGGTGTGGTGCACGCCGCACAACTGCTATCCTTAGATGAAATCGAGGCGATTAGAGGCAGTCAGCCGGGGTTCGACTCCCCGCACCCGAAATTCCCACATACTTTCGGTGTTTTTCTTTTGCTCGCGTCGCGTCGTGAGTTTGAGAAAGAAAGCAAGTCCATTAACAAGCGCGTAAATATCGTAAATCATAACCCTCCTCGTCTGGAGCGTATCTATTTTCCCCTCCCCTTCCTCTCTCCTCCCGCCTCCCGCCTCCAACTCAGAACACCAAGGAGCACTCAGATATAAAGGACAAGTCACTAAAATTTGACTCGATTAACGACACCATAAAACGCCTTCCCCTGTATCCGCGCCACCTCCAGCTCGAGCGCCGTCGGCTGGCGCGAACCGTCCGCGGCGGCGAAGGTGCCCGCGCCCCAGGGCGAGCCGCCGTGCACCTCCTCCAGCCCCGTGAGCTGCTTGAAGGCGTGCGCGTACCCGAGCGGGACGTAGAGGACGCCGTGGTGTGTGAGGGTGCTGATCGTGTTCAAAATCGTCACTTCCTGTCCGCCGCCCGGGCCCGCGGTCGAGGTGAAGGCGCCAGCGTATTTGCCGGCGATGGCGCCGGTGGACCACAGGGAGGAGGTGGAGTCCCAGAATGCCTGTGTGTGAATTTAATTAGTTGATGTGTATAGAGAGAGAGTGGAGTGGGGAGGGAGAGGGAGAGGAGGGATGGAGAACGAGAAGGAGGCAGAAGCAAGGGCAAGGACGAACGAGAACGAGAGGCGGGAGGGTTCGGGGGAAGATACAGAGGCGAGAGTTTGGGGAAGAGGCAAGAGGGAAGGAAACGCTTGCGCACCTTCCACTGCGCGGGAAAGTTTCCGAAGCGCGTCGGCACACCCATGATGAATGCGTCGTATTTCGCGAGCTCGTCGGGCGTGATGATGGGTAGGCGGGTTTGGCGGGGGCGTACATCTTGGCGAGGACTTCCGCGGAGAGGGTTTCGGGGACTCTG